GAAGTCCATTTGTCATGGCCAGCCACCAATATTTCTGTGATAGCACGTGTATGATTTCACTGCAACATAACTGAACAAGCTGATGAATTTTTCCTTAGTGTTCTGTCGAGGAGAAAACTTGTTGGCCTTACAGGAATGGTGGAGCTGAGAGGACGAGAGGTATAATTAATTACGATTTCAGAGCTCCTGCATCACAGTGGCTGCCCAAACTGGTAGACATTCTATAGTTTTTGGGTCTCTATCCTTTATGCAGTAGCACAAAAGTAGAAATAAGAGTGCTAAACTAAACAATGTGATAGGACTCAAGTAGTGGTTTAAGTTTCGTGATATCCACCTTGGATCATTTAAAAATAAATGACTATTTCCCATCGCTTAAAATATTACAGACATTGACAGCTTAATGCATTCCCGTACCATTGTTGATATTACTGGTAGACAAGCTCGGCCTGCCTTGTAAAGAAGGACAATGAGAAACACTGCCACCAACAACCAAGCCATTTCTTTTCACAGACGGTGATGTCCACGAACTACTAGTCTTAGCCAAGATGGGCTTTAAGGGCTTTAGAAATATTGCCAAAATTATTTTTATGCACTTATTTTTATATCATTTAACTTGATATAATTGAGAATACTATCAGTTTGTCAACTCTTATTTTTTTCTGCGAGAAGTCTATCTATCACCACCCTATTTACCCTATTTGGGTAAAACAAGCTTACTTAGAGGGCGTCTCGCATTAAATTTTAACGGTAACATAAAGTTTCCGTTTTTAACGATAATATTTTACAAACCTTCAAATGCAGGAGAGCAGGCATTCTTTTGTTCAGCACGTTGCAGCACTCTGATGCAATGCTGGGCATTGAGATCTTTGTTCAGTCGTATTTTCAACATATCTGTCATTCATTGTGTTGAAATCATGTAAACTTGACCAAATATCCGATATCTCAGACTTAATGAACGTAGGTGTGAGACGAATCAGTGGGATACTGCACCTGCAGAAATTAGTTTGCTCCCAAGGCCAAGGACAGACATTGATGAAAATGAATGGCGGAATCAAGACTCAGGGTGATAGAGTAGTATGTGTTGACGACCAAGGTAAAACCAGATGTTTAGAATGGAAATGCATTCACAATTGTTTGCTTAAATTTGCATCTAGTCATTTATGTACTGATAATGTATGCAAAGCCAAAGGAACAACGTGACTATAAAATTCTAAGTCTTTGATATTGTTCTTATTCTAAATTCAGTGTATGTGGAGACTTTGACCATTGTCTTTACTATTGGAATGAATTAGATTTGTAATTTACTGACTGAGTTTTAATGTTCACCAAAGAAATAACCTTACTGAAAATGGATGTGGAATTAGGTTTATGGCAGTACTTAAGACAGTAATTAGCTAGGTTGTAATCAGTCCAGCAGTAGCTTGATATCTTATTTTATATTGTGAATGAAGTTAAATAAAGTGACACATAGGTTTAAAAACTGAATGTGTTTCAGATGTAACTCTTCAAGTACAAGTTGCTGTTGAAAGTTTGCAGGCTGATAACATTATTGCAGTACCCACAGACACAATATATGGTATAGCAGGTATGAAGCTAGCATGAAATTCATGCATTAGCACTCCTATTAACGATTCTGATATGTACTGGCTGTGCTAATGCATGAAAGCAAAGGCCTCAAAAAGTTGGAAATGAAAACCGCTTGCTGAACCAGCTCTTTACGTTTCTGACACAATTAACTAAATTGATGAAAATGAAGTAGCCGAAATAGAATTTTCAACCGTTTTTCATTCAAAATAAATGTTTATAGTATATTGTCATAAATACCGTGAAAATCAACTAGAAGGCCCAGTTTTTAAATAAATTCCGCTCATGCGCAGTAGGTTACTGGCCCTCGCGTCATGACCTGAGTAGATTTGACCTGGTTTTCGTCTGTTCATAACGGGTGTATGATTTTACGACGGTCAAACTGGTAGATAGACAGATGAATTTAAGGAAAGTGATACCTCTGTTGTATATATCAGAATCGTTAATAGGAGTGCTAATGCATGAATTTTTGTGCTAGTATGAAGCTAGCATGTGATGCACACTTGAGCAACAAAGTCACACTGACAAAACTTCTTTTCCTTTTTAACCCAAACAAGTGGTCACAATCAATCACTACTGTATATCAGATTGTTTTCATATGTCTTGAAATGGAGCAATATCATCACAGAACAATTGTGTAATATGAAAATATATATTAAGCAGTCAATTGAATTTGTTCTCAGGTCTTGCCCAGAGCGTTACTGCAATAAACAAAATCTATGAGATTAAGCAAAGAGATGTAAACAAACCTATAGCTATATGTGTGGGAGAAATAAAAGATGTTTATAAGTAAGTATTATTTACTGAAAGTCACTCTTCATTAACATATAATATGATAACAAAATTGTGTCGTGAACAGATGGTGGGACAAAACAAACAAGACTTAAACCATTATGATGAAAGTTAATCTGTGTAGTAGTGTTACTCATCATAATGATAAAATTTATAACTGTTCAATTTCTACGCAACAAGCTGAAAGCGTAACTGAGAGCTTTTGACCCAACACTTGGGACTTCATTAGTCACACTGAAGTTAACTATGAACTGTTCACTGTATTTCCCTGATGTGAGACAGATTTTGCCTCCATCTGTCCTTGTTTAGTGCAGGCCTCTGTTTTCTGCTGACTGTGTAGATGTAAAACTTTCTATTCTTTGTTTTCTGCTGACTGTGTAGATGTAAAACTTTCTATTCTTTGTTTTCTGCTAACTGTGTAGATGTAAAACTTTCTATTCTTTGTTTTCTACTGACTGTGTAGATGTAAAACTTTCTATTCTTTGTTTTCTACTGACTGTGTAGATGTATAACTTTCTATTCTTTGTTTTCTACTGACTGTGTAGATGTAAAACTTTCCATTCTTTGTTTTCTACTGACTGTGTAGATGTAAAACTTTCCATTCTTTGTTTTCTACTGACTGTGTAGATGTAAAACTTTCCATTCTTTGTTTTCTACTGACTGTGTAGATGTAGGAAGTCGTATTCTAAGATGGGCTAGAGGATTTTGCCAATAGAGGGCTTCGTGTGAAAACTAGTTATTTTACATACCACTTGGTGCGCTGTATTCCCATTCAGAAAATGATGACGTAGACGTATGACCCTATTTTAAGCTCAAGTAAAAATATTTGAAGAAAATAGGGATAAACGTACTTAACAGCAAGTCACAATTAAAATATATTATGTTTACGTGTTTTCTTGTGTGTGTCGTTTTAAGGAATTGTACATGTTATGTGGGAACAGAATAACTCAAATGAGTTGAAACAGCGTTGGAAGGAACATATTTATGCACTATGTAAATTAACGTCACTTTTAAAATTATTATTTACAAGCATTATTTTAAAATGAATGTTTAATACAGATAACATGTTTCAGGGTGTCGACTTTGGCAAATGAAGCAGGTGGCGGGGGGGGGGGGAGACACATCATTATGAATAATATAAAACGTGTATTATATTATTTATAAATGGGTAAAACAATCCGATAATTATCAGGCCTACATACGTACAGTGTATGTTATATTAACCGGGTATACTATATAAACTACCAATTGAGAATTGTTGAGGGTAATTAGTACCCCCGCCCCCTTAAAGTTACTCTTTTGCAGCTGAAATTGTCAGTTACATCTAAGAGCATAGATAATCTAAGGATACTTGAAATTAAACAGATTAATTATTCACTGTAAAAAATCACACATTAGAATTTTGAATCATAGTTCTAAATAGTACCAAATGGCACTGTTCGGCCTATTGAGGGGGGACGAGGGTAAGCTTTGCATCTGCAGCCTGTCATTCCAAAAAAAGCCGGATCCCCCTACAAATAATCCTGGATCCACCCCTGACATGCATGGATTATTTCTAAGTAGTAGTATCAATCCGGTGTCGAGAAAAGTGGGAGCAGGGTGTGGCTTTATTTGTCCTAAAAAAAGTTTATAATGTTAACCTGTAAATTGCTTCTTGCCCCCCGATTTGTGAATTTAATGCTAGCCCAGGAAGCATAAAAGCAAATGCTGCATGTAAAGAAATAACTTATTCTTCCAATTTATTGCCACCAACAAAGTTAAATTTAACATATTAATTTATCCATTCTTACCAAGACAAATGTTCAAAGCAAAAAATAAATAAATTTACAGTTTCGATATGAAAGACATTTGTGGATGGATTGTGGATATTTTTTGTTTAAACACTCCTTCGTCTTTAGTAAATTCAATTTTTTGTTTCTTTTTCCTGTTAGGAATCTTGTAACTGAAGTTGTAGAAGTGAATATTTTATTCATTGTGTATTTATTTACTGAGCTGTGCATGATATCTAATCCACCGAGCTTAAGCATATGAAACATATTGGGTCGAGAATTTTGCACATAAATGCCCATTTTAAGCATTGCCGTTGGTTATTAAAAAATGGCAAAAACTAAAAAAGTGTAATACCAAAAACACCAAAAATATATTTATTCTCATAAAACTTATAGTACTTTTAGCATCACCATGTCACCCACAGAAAAAAGTGGTTTGAAAAAAAAAAAAGAAATAAAGAAAAAGACGCAGTTAATAAAAGGGAGTTTAAATAAATCTTAATTATGGAATATTTTACATACATACATACTTATTTACACACACACATTTATATAGGAGATTCATATTTCACATTGAATACATTGTAAACAACTCAGAAATATAAATTCTATTTTACCGCCAAAATGGTGGTTCTTGCAATTATTCTGGAATCTGTGCTTGCCACTTAACCATGTGACCTTCACAGATGACTAACCTCTGATAATCTCTTAAGAGGGAAATCCGAACTTATTTGTTCTCTTGGGTAGAGTACTTTTTCGTGTAAATAAACAAAATTATATAAATATTTGGTCAACATTTAATTATCTAATGTGATCTTTTTTTAAAATAAAATTCATTCACACTTGTCTTTAATAATACACAGTACATCATTTAAAATGAGATAAGAGGAGAGCCTCATCTTTTAATTAATATTTTACAACAATCAGTAGGTTAATCATTTTAAGTTACTGTTGCACATATATTGATTTCTCTTAGATAAACTGCATACAGGTGTGTTTACTGCAGGTAATAGAGACCTTGGGTTTGGAAGTGGAAAAATATGTTGTGAACCATCCAAATTTAATTTTATTTTAAATGACAATTTAACTGTATTCCAGTATATCAATTTTTTTCATAAAATTAACTTAGAGGGCTCTGGCATAACTTAAGATTGACTGGCCCTTTTACTTCACTTGCAGTGTTTCATTCAGATATATATAAAAATAAGGACATAAATACAGTACAGTATTATACCCTAAATTCAGATGCCAGTGCACATGACTCTTTAACAAGTCCATCACCCAGACACCATTTTCAAAGAAATACAGCATCCCATCTGCACCTTATAGAAATAGTAATAATAATAATGTGTGTGTGTGTGTGTGTGTGTGTGTGTGTGTGTGTAGTAACATTATTTCCAGGATTTGGTAGCAGTGGCCTCTTCCAGAATTATACTGGATCCATTATCGTTTTTGTTTTAAATAAAGATATGTCACAGTTATAATCACTGGGCCATATAAGATTCCCTTTTGCACTTGTATAATTTAAAAAAAAACTGTCACAAGTGTTGCATTATGTCAAAATTAACTTGCTCTTATGCCCATAGGTATTATTTTGAAGTACCTTTTGTCTGCAACAACTGAAAATCAAGAAAAAGATACTATTAGTTATTAGCATTAAACATCAAACCAAAGGGACAACACAGTGACATTTCCAGACAGACAGGTGGGAAAACATGACCCCATCTATTTTGGAAGCTACAAGAATCCAGGAATTTTAAGTGTCAAAAACTGTAAGATCCTTAAAGGCTTTCTCTGGGCATAGTAAACTTTAAAGCAATCAAATGAATTAAATTCATAAATTTAAATATTAATGCATGTCTTGAAAATGAATATGAATACACATTACGTTAGAAATTATACAAGCTAGAATTACATTTTTTTTTGTATTTTAAATCTAACATCCAACTCTTACTTATACATAATTATCATAATTATCATTATCATTTTTTAACAAAAATAAATTCCATATTCATACCAATATTTCTTAAAACCAGAATGGCCACATTTAGCATATTAAAAAGTCTGGCTGGCAGATCTTTGGTGTTTTGCCCAATCCATATCCCAACAGGTGCTCCACTGCCTGAATAAAAATTAATAATGATAACAAAATTTCTATTGATATACCAGGAAAAAAGGAAAATCCCTACACAATTGTTTTATGTATATATACAAATATGTCTATACAAAGTTAATTTTGATGTTCAATAATTTATGGGTAACTGTCTGTGCTGTTCGTAAAATGTTAATAAATTCACATTGGGTGTTTATATTTTTGCTCTGTGTTTATGTACATGGTCTGGTCATATTGAATAATATTTAACCCTTGCTCGGGATCTAAGTCATAAAATCTAAAAAACATTTTCATTGGCCTACAAATGTTTCTCTTGGGGACTATTTAGAGGTGTACAAGTTAAGAACTTATACTGAAATGTGTGCTTCCTAGGTAAGATAACTCACATGTATACACCACAGCCGACAAGTGTAGCATGCATCTACATGTAGTTGTTTTTCATGGCCAATGGTGACAAACTGGCACCCGATTTTTTTTTTTACTTCTGGAGAAGTTGCTGAAAATATATTACGAGAAAAATTATACCTTTCAACCCAATCATAATATTGAATTGTCTGCACCTTGCACATATAATTAACAAAATTTATATAAACGCAGGGGCAGATTAAAGATTTAGACCATCTTCAGCTAACATAATTGGTGGGTATCTAATTTTTTCTGTTGGAAGACGGTCAAAAATGGAAGATGGATCGACAAAGATAATTTGGAAGACTCCCCGTAAACCTATTATATATATATATATATATTTTTTTTTTTTTTTTACATGACAAGACTTTTTTAATATTCAACTACCCCCAGTTTCTTGTGATAATGTCCTTTTCTTGGCCAGTCTCTCAAAGGGAATTGACATAGGTGAATTTACCCTCCTTTCTTCCACAATACTAGGTACAATAGACACAACTAAAAAAATAATAAGCCCTAGTCAGTTCAATATGTCTTCATGTTTCACAAAATACAAAAATTGGTGTTGGGTGGAAAATATGTCAAATGTCAGATCTAATAAAGAGTACTAAAATTCACCAAATTATGTCTTTTAACTCGTCTTAATACAAATATAAATGTAGCAATTTTTTTTATTAAAACAGGAAAATTAAAAATTATATAGATTTGTTACTGCCTTATGTAAAGCATATCTTATAGCAGAGTTACAGTTATTAAGAGATAATTTACTGCCTACATTTAATGTAGTAAAAACAACCCAAATACAAAATTTAAATCTAAGAGAGTCCCATACAATGGATTGAATACTTACCAAGACAGCATAGTACATGTCCTCATCTAATGCAAACTCTGACAAACATAATTCTCTCAGGTCTTTTTATATAACTGACAGAGAAAAAATTAAAATCAAAAGCAAGTGGAATTTAATTCAAATTAATCTATTTATTGCAATTTGGGATAGAAAACAATTATACTAACTAAATGCCACCAAACCTATACCTGTATGAAAAAAAAGAAAATGTAGAAAAAGAAAAGTATTGAGAATAATGTTTTTTTTTTAAACATAAATAAGGAAGGTAACCTTTTTTTAAACTACTACATATATATCAATGCATTTTAAAAAGTGCCAGTACATTAATTTAAGGTGGTTATATAAAATTCAATTTTTTCATTATATTATTTGAGGTTTAATTTATAACACCAACCACAAAAAAACAGTGCAATGTTCTTTGAGACATAATGAAAAGGAGAAAAAATTAAGTCAAAAGAAATACCTGTATTTATGTATAATGGCTAAAAAAATTTTGATTTTTTCTCTTTAAAGCATATTCAGTTACCTATTCAAAGAGAATATGGGTAACCTTAGAAAAATAAGCCATGCCTTCATAATATACAATCCTGGACATTACATGAAGGCTCACATGGAATGAAACACCTGTAAAAAGAACAATTTAAATGATGATGTTTCTACCTCATATGACCAAAGCATTCATTTTCTTTTAAAGATCTTGGAAACATCTTGAGAGCTTTAAAGTTATAATATGTATTATTCAAACACGTAAACATAATAAATTTAAATAGCGACCTTCATTGCTGTCATATCAAGTTTACCGCTATTTTCAGCTTAATATGTCTACGTCATCATTTTGTGAATGGGAATACAGCGCACCAAGTCGTATGAAAAATAACTAGTATTCACACGAAGCCCTCTATTGGCAAAATCCTCTAGCCCATCTTAGAATACGACTTCCACAGATGTAAAACTTTCCATTCTTTGTTTTCTGCTGACTGTGTAGATGTAAAACTTTCCATTCTTTGTTTTCTGCTGACTGTGTAGATGTAAAACTTTCTATTCTTTGTTTTCTGTTGACTGTGTAGATGTAAAACTTTCTATTCTTTGTTTTCTGTTGACTGTGTAGATGGGGCAGAGTGACAGTGTCAGAAGAGTTGCTGTCAGAGTTACTTCCTGGTCCAGTCACCTTGGTCTTTGAGAGGACAGCACAACTGAACCCCAGCCTCAACCCAATGACCTGTTTGGTGGGCATTAGGATCCCTGACCACACTTTCATTTCCAGTTTAGCCAGGGCTTGTGGTCAGCCTCTGGCCCTGACCAGTGCCAATGTCAGTGCCGCTGGAAGTACCCTCAGTGTCCAGGTGAGTGAATACCAAACACACAACAGAGAGAGAGAGAGAGAGAGAGAGAAAGAAATTGGGGGGGGGGAGTGGAAAGAGAGAAAGAGAAAGGGACTCACCCATAAGGTACTTTATTTATTACTAATTTACTAATTTACTACTGTTTGAACAACTTGTTTGGTTTGATCAAAGTTATTTTTAATTTTTTCTATATGATTATTCACGAAAATTAATAACACAAACCTTTATTCCTTGCTTTCAAAACTCTCTGATATAGTACCTGAATCACCCCTTAGCAATTAGGCAATTAGCACTTGACAAGAGGCCACCCTTTGCTACTCACACAATGTCCCTCTGCTTGATTGCTATCTTCACCTGGCTGGCTGGAAAGTCAGTCCAAGTTTGGACACAATGTGTGAGGGGAGATAGTTGCTTTACTACTTTGGTGGAAGTCAGGCTAATTATAGTTAACTCACTGGAATTCAGATCGTTTTTGATCTTAAGAGCGATTTTAGACTGCTTAATAATTTTTAAGACCAAGCCAGACCAGTTCTGACCTGAAATTGCACTTTTAAACCAAATCAGGCGCACTAGTGTTATCTGTCTAAAAGAAGAAAATATTTGGAACTAAAGTTTGAAAATGTTGATTATTATTATTTATTTTAGGAATTTGAACATTTGTGGCACAAATTGGACAAAGTTTTTGATGGTGGTATTTTGGGAGATGGTCCACTGCAACGTCTGGGCTCAACTGTGATAGACTTGTCTTGTTATGGCAAATACAGGATTATCAGACCGGGAAGGTTGGTAGAGCTATGACTATAACTGTGATAGACTTGTCTTGTTATAACAAGTACAGGATTATCAGACCAGGACGGTTGGTAGAACTATGACTATAACTGTGATAGACTTGTCTTGTTATGGCAAGTACAGGATTATCAGACCAGGAAGGTTGGTAGAACTATGACTATAACTGTGATAGACTTGTCTTGTTATAACAAGTACAGGATTATCAGACCAGGAAGGTTGGTAGAACTATGACTATAACTGTGATAGACTTGTCTTGTTATAACAAGTACAGGATTATCAGACCAGGAAGGTTGGTAGAACTATGACTATAACTGTGATAGACCTGTCTTTTTATTACTAGGATGATGAAGTTGACATGAATTGGTAAAATACCCAAAAAATTGATATAGACAATATGGTGATTGCTTTTGGCATTGTAAACTTTTATGAAGTAGTGCTGCAACCAGCAATGGGCTGACCACTTGCATTATAAACACCACAACATATAGAACACACACACACACACACACACACACACACACACACACACACACACACACACACACACACACACACACACACACACACACACACACACACACACACACACACACACACACACACACACACACACACACACACACACACACACACACACACAGATATTGTGTGTGTATTTGCCATCTTTGTCCATGTAAAATTAAGAGTGGATTTTTGGATTACATAGTATTATTGTACCTATTTGTCAGTGTTGCCTTCTTTACAGTGCACATAAGGCCTCCCTGGAAGTGCTCCACAAGTTTGGTCTAGAGGAAGTGGCCAAGTGAACATCCACAAACAAGATGCAGCTCAGGGATTATGGGGACACCGGATGTATTCTGGAGTGTTGTTACAGTTCACTAAGGTTTCATGTGCTGTTTTATTTTTCCATAGAATAAAGTAGTTGTGTAATGACAAGTTAGTGCTAAGACTTGACTGTAATCAGTAGTTAGAATTACCCTCTTCCAGGGTGGCAGATATTATAGGCAGGTTTTCCAAAAGCCACCCTGTAACTTTTGGCCAGATAGAAGAAATTAAATCTGCACCAGTGCAGATGGCATTGTACCCACTCTTTAGGAGTTACCACAGGAGATTTACAGTTACTACAGAGCAGTTCACTGTCTTAATTGCTATTAAGGGGACTTGGCTTGGGCCTATNCTGTGATAGACCTGTCTTTTTATTACTAGGATGATGAATTTGACATGAATTGGTAAAATACCCAAAAAATTGATATAGACAATATGGTGATTGCTTTTGGCATTGTAAACTTTTATGAAGTAGTGCTGCAACCAGCAATGGGCTGACCACTTGCATTATAAACACCACAACATATAGAACGAAAACACACATACGCACGCACGCACACACACACACAGATATTGTGTGTGTATTTGCCATCTTTGTCCATGTAAAATTAAGAGTGGATTTTTGGATTACATAGTATTATTGTACCTATTTGTCAGTGTTGCCTTCTTTACAGTGCACATAAGGCCTCCCTGGAAGTGCTCCACAAGTTTGGTCTAGAGGAAGTGGCCAAGTGAACATCCACAAACAAGATGCAGCTCAGGGATTATGGGGACACCGGATGTATTCTGGAGTGTTGTTACAGTTCACTAAGGTTTCATGTGCTGTTTTATTCTTCCATAGAATAAAGTAGTTGTGTAATGACAAGTTAGTGCTAAGACTTGACTGTAATCAGTAGTTAGAATTACCCTCTTCCAGGGTGGCAGATATTATAGGCAGGTTTTCCAAAAGCCACCCTGTAACTTTTGGCCAGATAGAAGAAATTAAATCTGCACCAGTGCAGATGGCATTGTACCCACTCTTTAGGGAGTTACCACAGGAGATTTACAGTTACTACAGAGCAGTTCACTGTCTTAATTGCTATTATATTAAGGGGACTTGGCTTGGGCCTATTAAGTGGCAGTGCCTGAGCAGTTATGTGAACAATTACCAGCCATATAATCAACCTAGAGATTTCAGCACAGGGTCAGAGATAGAAAAATGACTGTCTATTTATCTAAAGACACTTGTGAATATCTAGGGAAAAATCAATCTGTGGCCCTGGTAGAGGGTAAATGAGAATAATCTTTGTAGAAGGGATATCATTAGAATGAACAAATAGACCATTCAGGAAATTTACTTTTACGGCTGGATTGAAACATTTACACAAATTTTACTTTAATCAAATTTTTAAAAAGAGGGTTTCACGTAAGGTGTAAAAGAGGTCAGAAAACAGGTTATTTCAAAGGCCTTGCACCAAACAGCATCTGTCTTTTGCCATGGATGATCTGTTCAAATAGTGGTTTTGAGGCACCAGTGTATATTGTATATTTTGATCTGTACAACTGCCAAAAAGAACAATTTTTAACAGTTCTATGAATATCTATTGAAATTCATTGTCACCTCACTCAAGCATGAGCATGCAGATCTAACTGATCCTCCTGAGTAGGCAAGTAAACCAGGTTAACTTTCTCACTCCTAAGTTTACTAAGCTGGCTGTAGAGATTTTAATACCAAAAAATACCAATCTTTATAGAGTAGAAATTTTGAGTGTATTTGGTTGCGTAAGATTATGTCACAGAGGTTCAGAAATAGCATGTTATGTTGCAAATCAGCTTTTATGAGTTCTTTGAATTATATCCAAATATAAATAAGAAAAATGCAGAAAACAGTTCAGAGACCCTTAAAAATTATTAAGTATTCCTTTGCTGTATGTGGGTCACTCACTGTGTCAATGTTAAAATTTGGTTCAGTGTCACCATCAGTATTCACTTCTTGAATAACTTTATTTTCTTGGGGTGTTACTTTACTTTTCTGGGGCTTACTTTTGAAAGCTACTTCAAAGTGATTTAGCTTTCCACACTTGTGACAGGTTTTACCAAAACCTGGGCATTTTATCTCCAGTATGACTACCATTCCAGTTTCTAAGTTTACTTATCAAACCTGACTTGCTGGTTGCTGTTAACTGTGCTTTGCATCCTCCTCCAAACACTCAATTTGGCACATTTTCATTGTTTTCATCAGTGTAAAATTGTCTTCTCTTAGCAATACTTTCCTTGTGTTTTCATGTCTGATCGATTCTGTTTCTGAGCATATCTTCTTCAAGTTTACCTTAATTGCAACTTTTCACCTTATGTTTTGCATTTGCCAAGAATTACCAGAAACATTCATCATCTTGTTGAACATGTAGACTGAACCTCTACAATATGAGTATCACATTTAGTCCTTTGATTAAAAAATTCACTAAATCTGTTCTTTGGTACATCTGGATCATCCTTGTTTCATAATCATCATAAAAAAGTCATGCTTTTCAATTGCACACCTACCCGTCTGGTTAAAAAACATGCATGCCTTCTATTTGGTTGTCATTTCACTGTAATAGGTGCCATTTTATATGTCATACTCAGGAACATAAGTTTTCCAGTTTTGTTTGATATTTTCTTCAAATGATAATGGAGTTGGCTTCCTCGGTCCTTAAGATTGTATAACCTTAAAAACAGTATACTTCTTTGCATTTCTGCCTTGGGCAACATCAACACTCCAGCCAGTCCACGTGTGTCAATGTGCTTTCCCCCTTAGGTTTCACTGCCACTTGCTGAATATGTCCCCTCTTCAGATCCATCGTCATCATGGGCTGCCAGCCACCTTTCTTCCTCCAGCTCATAAATCTCATAAGCCTCGTCTTTGTCTTCATCACTTACGCATTCAAGAACAAGACCTAGATGACAAGTAGTGAATGTCTTCCAAGTTTTCTCCATTACTTTCATTGCACTACAATGGATGGCATCTACATCATCTTATAGCATTGCTTCTCTTAACTCATTTTTTTTTTTTTAATTATTTTTTGTTACCTGTCTCTTTCCTCAATTCTTTGCTCCATGTTTTCTTTTCTTTTAGTGGAGGGCACAGGCTTCCTGCTACTTCTCCTGGGTATGCCTTCCTGTAGCACATCATCTTCATCATATGATGGTCTGGTATCCATTTTGAATGTTCATCAACTTTGTAACAGCATTTAACTTCTTTATTGACTGACTTATTGCTACAAGTGTCGTTGCTGAAAATAAACATTGAAACTTAAGTGAAACTTTTAATTTAATTAGATACACATTTCTGTATACTTCTTACTAAATGCAAAACAGAACTTTTAACCTTATCATAACTGTAAAGTAACAAAGTTAATACATTAGTAATAACATAGGTTCTATTGTTTAATCTTATATGAATGTTTGTCATCTTAAACCCATAAAACTATTTGAATGTGGTGAGTTCTAAACTATAAACAATAAGAAAACAATTTTCATAAGGAAGATGCACAATAATAACAACTGAACGTAAAAAAACAAATCTCTTGGCCTGCGCAAACACCAACTCTCTGTTGACCAATGTTACCACAGTCTAACTTGCTTTTGTAAAATGTTACACAATGGCACATACATGTTAAGTGAAGAAACTTACACTACTTTGTGACCTTCAGGCTTGAAACAGCACATAACAGAGCATGCTAATAATATATTCATTTCTTAAACATTGGCACTTTCAGTACTGATAAAAAAAGGGAATTGGAATGAAGCGTCTGCAAACTGCATCTGCTTCCACGAGGTGTATAACTTCCAGTCCCGGAGAAAAATAAGTGTCATAACTAAATAGTCTACCAAATAACTAATCTTCAAGAGTCTTAAATATTAAACAATTTTCATTATAAGACAAGATATTGTCCACTTTGAAAAATATTGTCCACTTTGACAGCATTCTAGAATTCAGTCTAGTAGGCACAAAAACAAAGAACCAAATAGCCTGCAATGTACTGCATGTAACAAAATAAAGAACCTTCATTGTTCGAAATAGCTCTGTTATGCCAGGATCAGTTTATGTTAACTGTTACTGAATTGGAAGATAGGAGTCGTGAGCTGAACGTGCCTGAGCGTTTGTTTTTTGGTTTTAACCTATATACATTTAAAGTAACTGAATAAACTGATAATTACCATGGCATTTGCTGGTATTACATCAATATAGGTAATTTGTAATCCTACTTCTGACACCAAGTTTATGTACTAAACTTGTAGGATCAATCACAACAATCACATGGGGTCGGCGCTAGTTCATATGGAGCTAAAGTCCGATGACGTACAACATGACCTAGTTTAGCAAACATGACCTAGTTTAGCAGGGAAACCCTATCGATCTATATTTAGTTCCAAGGCGTACATATCAATATTATCTTCCAATATCATCATAGGACACCAACTAAATCTTAATTATTTTAATCTATGACTAGTACATTTACTTTTACAAATAAAATTTAGAAAATGATTATAAATAGAGTCTTTAAAAATATCGTGCCATTTTCATCAATAAAAGAAGTGTAAAAAAGCAGGAATATTTTTTAAATTTTTATTTATTTAGCATTAATATAAATCATATATAAACAGAATGTACCATATAAAGTAATTAGATGTCAATGCTAAGTAAATAATATCATAAATGCAAATTCTTTCTGTTTAAAATTCCGTAGAGCTATTTCTTTCTCTATTGCATAATTACTTATCAGGAACTTTTTCAGACCCTAAAAATTAACCGGAATGTTTTTCTCTGAATTGATATATATATATATATATATATATATATATAACTTAGTAACAAGTATGATATAGTCTAGTGGCTTGAAAACCTTTGAATATGTGCCCAAGATAAAGATTTCAATACAGAATTCTACAGTAACTTTTATTTTATCATAAATCAATATTTCTAACTCCCTTCACTAAAATCAACATCATCAATATCACCTTCCTTTGCTGTATACAGGTTCTGAAAAAAGTTTGTTTTCTCTAAAATTTCCATATGGTCATATATGAAAGTATTGTCAATTTGTTTTAGACTTTGAATGGTTTTATTGAGGTATTTGCGATTTTCCAAAAGTATTTTGTAGGTTTTTCCCCTTCCTCTACCCATTTACATTTCCATCTTATAATTGCTCTTTTTGATTTTTCTTCCCTAATTCAGATTAACTCTAACTTTTTTTCATCTATTGTAAAAGATTCAAAGAGCCATCAAAAGATGAATTAGATTCAATTTCATTAATCTCCTTTTCCAATTCCCTTTCTTTTTCATTTTTGTTTTTTTCATGTACGTCGCAAACAATATTGTTTCTCCTCTAATTTCCATTAACAACGTTTCCAAAAATAGTGCATCATCAATTGTGAAGTAAATCAAGTCATTCGAGATATCATCTATTTTTTCAAAATTATACATGCAAGCTGCATATTGCCTTTTTACCCTAGCGATGAATTCTTTAACTTTATGAGCATATTCTTAATTTTTTAGTAAATTATTATTTAACTTCCATAGGCCTTTGCCTTTTCTGAAATGATTTAAATCTAGTTCTAATATAACTGGAGAATGATCAGATTTATAACTAGCTCTTGTGAAAATATTACTCGTGAAAGCAGGAATATTTTCATTCCAAAGCCCCACCCCCACTTAATTAACAAATTAAATGTCAAAATTTCAAATTATAAATTTCAAAAAACAACTAATTTGATACAAAATTCAACTTTCTTCAGTACCATATTTATTTCATAATCCAGGTTACTTCATCGGGTGACATTTCAGAGTGTAGAGAGTTATACATTCACAGAAAAAAACACAAATTTCACAATTTCTTTAAAAAGTTAACTCATTTTTTCAATCTACTGTTTGTTTCAATGGATTTTCAACTTAAGACAAACTTAACTCAATGAAAATAGACAGGGGTCACTAAATACCCAATACAATCAAAATAGACAAGGGTCACTTTACCCAAATACTATCAAAATAGATGTTACTATTCAATCATATAGTTAAGTGATTTCATGAAGTGAGATACTTCTTCTGCATTTTCAAGAATGCTACATTTTCAGGAATGGTCAGATTGACATGAACTACAAACATAGGAGTCATCACAAAGAAGTGACGCAACTGACTGGGCATTCAAACCTACACATGATATGTAAAAATAGGAATAACACTTACAACATCTTAACAGTTGAACATCAGGCTGGTGCATAAAGCATTTACAGTATACACTGACTAGATAGTCTTCTTTAGGACACAGTGGATCTTCCTGGGGTAGGTGTTTGCAGAGGAACAATGACAGTCTCTGGTTCTCAAAGCAAGATGTCAGATGATTTCTCATCTTAGATTGGTCCCAAACAATTTTCTTTGGATTGCTTCCACATACAAGGGCAGTAGCATTTGCTATAGTGAATAGGCCACAATCAGAGACACCTACTTGTTTCTGTGGACAACAAACTGTCACCTGAAGACAACCATCATGGTTAGCATGTAGTTTGTAAAGAGATGCAAGTTGCTGTGTCAAGCTATGATTAAGATTAGTCGATAGAGATTCATACACAGTTATCACACCTCCAATTGATGATGAAACAACCCAATGTTCTCCTCTATCATGACACTGTATGGCTTCTTCTTCAGCTGGAAGTGGTGGAAACCTGTTCGAGTGCTTCATTGTAAGAGTACTTTGGAGACCACCAATGCCAAATGACATTTCTCTCATGAACTGCTGTACTGCATCAATATGCTTGTCGTTCAGCCACCCATTCTTGTAGGTGTTATGACAAAATAAAGTTTTATTTGTACTCTCAAATATAATTTATTAATATAAATCAACAATGTCTCTAAATGCATAGTCATTTAACAAAAATAAACCATGTAACAATCCTACTTAATTCCCGTTCACACGTCTTCATGGAAGCATTGGTACTAAAAGCGGTGAAGGCGATGATGGAGGAGGCGACACATTGACATAGTTATCCGGAACACTAGCTGTCCTTCTCGTTTAAACATCTTCATGGTGGCACTGGTACTGGAAACGATGAAAGCGATGGTGGAGGAGGCGGCATGTCGACATCATTCTCCTTATACACCAGGGAGGTTGAATAATTCGTCGCAAAAGTTATCATGAATGATAAAACGGTCACTGACGTGGACGCCGCCGCCGGTGTTACAAATGTCACTGATATGTCACTGTCTTTGTTATCATTTCATAAAGCTCACCATCACTGAAATGTCACTATCTTTGTAATCATTCCATAAAGGTCACCATGCTGGGTTACTCTATTTCCAGGCTATATATGTTTTTAGTGTATAAATTCCTGGAAACATTAGCTTCCCACGGTGACTCCCTTCCTTTCTCCTTCCCGGCCTCCACCCTTCCTTTTTTTTTTCCGGTTGAACCCAACCCACACAATCTGACCTTTTCCGGTTGAGCCCAACTAACACAATTTGGGGTTGTTACATACCCTCCCCCTTAAAGAATTACACTTACACAAGAATACATTAATATTTAATTAATCAATATTTTAACTATCTTAATATATGCTAAATATACATTCACTTAATAGCATATGGAAACACAATCTAGGCTTGTTACATACCCTCCCTCTTAAAAAAAAATATATATATATATATATATATATATATATATATATATATATCACTTGCATCAACAGCCAGATGAAAAGGCTGACTAAAATCTGGTGCTTTTAACACTGGGCTATTACACAGCATATACTTAATTGTGTTGAATGCACTATTGCATTCATCAGACCATTTGAACTTCACATCTTTCTTATTCTTAAGCAAATTTGTGAGTGGTGCTGCGACATCAGAAAATTTTTTACAAAATCTTCTGTAGTATCCTGTCATTCCTAAGAATCTCATCAACTCTTTCTTATTCTGTGGAAGAGGAAATTCTCTAATGCTTTTTATGTACAGACACAGATGTGTCTGTACATATAGCCGTCATCTGCGTCTGTCGTCGTCGCCGTCGCCGTCGCCGTGCACTTTTACCGATAACACGATAAGTGGAAAACTGTTTTTTCTTTT